AAAAATACCTATTTTCACAAAAAAAGATCATATTTTAAACGTAATTTATAAATATTGTTTACATGGTTGGCCCGAAAAAGGTGAGATTTTAGAAAAATGTGAACAATACTATATAAAACGAGACGAGTTGCACCTTGAACATGGATGCATTCTATGGGGGTATAGAGTAGTGGTTCCCGAAAAATTAAGGACGATGCTATTAGAACAAATTCATTTATCGCATTTAGGGATAACTAAATGTAAGGCCATGGCCAAAGGTTGACGATAATATCGAAACAATGTGCAAAGGCTGCCAAACTTGCATTTCGGTACAAAATAATCCACCAAAAGTAAGTTTACACCCTTGGCCTTATGAACACAATCCGTGGAGCCGAATACATTTGGATTTTCTGGGACCACTATTTGGAATTAAATATTTAATTTTAATTGATTCTTTTAGCAAATGGCCTGAAATTTTCAGAATAAATATCGGGGATGCAAAAAATGTAATTAAAATTTTAAATAAATTATTCTCAACATTTGGTCTGCCTACCAAAATCGTCTCCGATAACGGGCCTCCATTTTCTTCAAAAGAATTTCGGGACTATTTAAAATCAAACGGTATTAGACAAATATTTTCTACCCCAAAACACGCGGCCAGTAATGGTCAAGCAGAAAATACTGTAAAAACTTTTAAAGTGGCTTTAAAAAAGGCAGTTTTCGAAAATAAAAATATTGATGATTTTCTTACTCAATTTCTATTTGACTATCGCAACACGCCTCATTGCACAACGGGAGAAACTCCTGCTAAATTAATGTTTCAAAGAAAAATTCGGGGAAAATTAGATCTTTTAATACCAGATTCTAGGAAAATTGTAGAAGAAAGGATTGAAAAGCAAAAGGAATATTACGGGGGCATTTCAAAGACTTTTGATGTTGGGGAGAAAGTTTATTTAAGGGATTTTAGAGATCCACACCGTCCAGCTTGGACTGAAGGGGAGGTAACCGGCAGAGAAGGTTCGGTAATTTTTGAGGTCAAAACGAATGACGGGAAAGATTATCGGCGTCATGCTAATCAGCTTAGAGCATCTCTCTCTGCTAAAACAGTCGATAATAAACTGTCTATTGATAGTACCGATGTAGAAAATATTGCGAATACAAACAGTTTTGATTCTTCGGCATGTATGAATAAAAAGTCTGAAGAAAATATCAGCAATCCTGAGAGTTCTGAAGCAGGATCGTCTAGGAATTTTCTAAGACCTAGATAATATTGTTATAGTATAAAAATGTTAACATAGTAGTTTGAAATTGTTCTTCAGTTTGTTTTCCTTTCCTTCCTATTTTGTATAAAGCTAAATTTAGCGAGTGAAAAGTGTTAAGTGCGATAACAAAGTTTTCTTTTTCAGCCTAATACACATTTTAGTGAAATTATCTTTTATGTATGTAGGTATGTTTCATTTTTAGGGTGAGAATGTGTAATGTATTAAATAAACTGTATTATTATATATGGACATCACCCTATACAATTAATTTCTATTCTGGTATCTTGTACTGTTTTTTACTGTATGGCGATAACGTCGGCTTCAATGTGGAATCACGGAATAAAGGCACTTTCAATTCAGCATTTAATTGAGTTTTATTATAATTAAGAAGTACGGGAAAAATAATAAAATAATTGTAGTTCTTAAGGAAACTAGGGATATTACACTATCCAAGTAAAACTAATAACTATATCAACTACAAGACCAAAAACGGTCTCTTCACGTCTGAACACATGTAATTATATGAAACACATTTCGCAAGGCGCAATCAATGCGGGAAACCAAAGTGGACGATAGGAAGATCGGTCTCGGAGCAGCGTTTGCTGTCTGTTGCGCTTGTATTTTGAGGTAATTAGTTGATATTTTATAGTAAATGTATTTGCAAAATTCTTTCGATCTATCCTGGGCAGTTTTGCCAGATGAAAATTTGCTGGAACAGTAGGTGGATAAAAAAAACAGTAGATTTTAATACAGGGGGAAATAATTATAATTTGCAGTGTAGTAAATAAAAACAAGTATATAAGAAACGAAAAATAAATATTTTTCTACCAAAATTAGAAAGTAAACAAAGAAAAAAAAAATAAATAATACAATTTTTAATATAAGAGTATACTTATATTTAACATCCGGAAACAAAAAAAAAAACCAATGAAAAATAATAGATATTTCTTTCACATTAGTCTGAAACAGATAATTCAAATACGTTGTGTTTGGTATGCATGTTCTTTTTATGATAACCTATTAATTCTTTGTTGCATTTTAAATTAAAACAATAACTTTCTCGAGGTTTTTTTTTTTATGGAGCAAACCTATAATAGTGACTGCACGTTGCTTTTTTACTTCAACAAATTTACTAGAGAAAATATTCTTTGACCATTTGCCGAAGAATGGGGCAAACTTAATAAATTAAGAACAAAATTTGCTAGAGACAAAAACAGTAGATCTACGTGAAAATAGTAGGTCTGGCAACGCTGATTGTTCCCTCGAATACTTACGAAGGGTAAAATTTATGCACCTGTTGTCCTACTCGACCTTGGGGTCGGTTAAGTGGTCGCAAACTTAATAAATTAAGAACAAAATTTGCTAAGTTGGCGGAAATAGTAGATTTAATGCCTAAAACAGGAGAACAGAGACACAAACAGTGGATCTACTTTAAAACAGTAGGTCTGGCAACACTGATCGTTGCATCAAATAGTCGTATGCGGTTGCCGGTCTCCTTGCCTCGCCTTCCCAAATGTGTGAAGCGTAACGTAAATGCATCTGTCTCATTCACCGTCGCTTCTGCTGTCGTCTGTCGCGCGTTCCCAAATGGTACCTTTACCTATTCATATTAGATGGATTTTGATATCACATTTAAATATTATATGTGTTAACACTTCATGTAAGAATGGAATGATCCCCAAAAAATGTTTCTAAAGTAGACCATGGAAAAAATCACATCACATAACCCGAAGAAAACCGTATTATAGCAAGACATAGTTCTCTCATCGGATCATTTTGTGACGTTAGTATAAGCTCAGAAAATTAAGGGTATAGCTTGTTAGATGCTCGTTTGGATCAAGAAATTCCGAAATATCATCACAAATGTTTCCTTCAATGCAACCGGTACAGGACAGGTGTGCTTCCTGGAAAACCAAAGGGTCGCTTGAATGGCTCAACAATCACATCAGAAATGGAGAAAATTTACAAGCATATTGAAGAGTCCAATGATGTTGTCTATAAAGTGTCAGAACTAACTGACATGTTAGGTATGTACATGGTTTTTGTTATAGTTCTAACCCGTAATGGGAAATTGCGGATAACAAGCAATTTGAACATATAATTGATTTATCTGTTCTTATTTCAGATGGCAGTATGGATAATAGAACAGTCATCAAACGCCGCGGGACTTATTTTATTTGAGAGCCAACAAAAAAATACGCAACTTCTCTCATGGGCACATACGTCTAACATTTATAATTTCGCCACAAATTCATCGCAAATTTCATGTCCATGGTTCTGATCAAAGAAACGGAAAAACAACTTTTTGATTTCGATTGGTGCATTTATTTTTACTATCGGAATGATCCTTGCCCAGATAATTAGCATTTTTACCATGGAAAATTCCGGAAAACCCGGTTTTTCCTAATTTAAAAAAAATTGAACAACAGCTACATCTTTTTTTGTATTTTTTCGGAAATATCACATCAAAATACATAAGTCCACTTTGTTTCATCCAATTACAAATTAATGTAAGCTCGAAGGGGCTTTTTTTGTTATTTAAGTGGACTATGGTGTGTCTGTAAATTTTCAAAACACACTAATAATAAATGTAAACGAATATTCCTCAATTTCCACTTTAGAGTCAATAAACATTAACCTAGAAATTAAATGTCAAAACTTCATGTCATTCCTTAAAAACGATTTAACGTTAATGCGTTACAATGACCGGTTATCTTTTTATTGCTTTAATCACGTGATTTCAAGGACAACCAAGGGTATAACCAAAGTATTTTCTGGTCCATCGCTTTAAAACGGTTCATGTTTGTTTACAAATTTAAAACATTAAAAATCTTTAATGTGGTTGAAAATTGAGAACACAAAATACTTGCTTATGAAATGTAGATTATGGCTATCACTTCCGTCAGATCGATTAGATTAGCGCAGACATGGCATGCTCCTTCCTGACTATATATATTCTAAGATTTTAATATTGTATGAAGTATATAACTAATTATGATTAAATGACGCCTCGAAGTTTATAATTAAGTATATACAAAATGATGGGATATATACAGATGATAAAATATATTAATCGATGCAAAAATATAAATGATTTGTTTTTAACTTCTTCTATAAAGTTTGACACTTACGATAATTCTGACGCTACATCATAGCTGTAAGTTTTTTCATCACATCGACAAGGCTGATACTGCAACTATACATAACATTCTACTTGTAATATGGTCCTGTAAAAATATCCCATCATAATGTATAAAGTTACAATTATTAAAAAATTGATTTAGAATACTTAAAATAAAAAGATGTTAGGTTTCGTAAGATAAAAAAATTAAATATTGAAAAAGGAGTTACAAACATTATTAATAATAAAACAGATCTTTAATTTAAAAGTATGTAAACAATGACATAAAATTAAATTTAAAAGAAAAACTACATTAAATAGATTGTTCCAAAATTTTTTAAGTTTTTACTTATGAACTACTTAACATTTTTATTATAAAAATTAGAAAATGTCAACGTTAACTTCAGTACTATCATTCGAGGTATACTCGAGATATTTCAGATAAACACCTCAAAAATTCAATTTATCAATATATTCTTGCTTCCAATTTATCTTTCAGATCCATATTAAAGAATTTTATTTTAATTATATAACTGATTTTTTTTTAATTAAATAACTGTATTTGAAAAAGAGGTAAGTGCTAATGATAAAAGTTAATAGTATAAAGTTTAAAATGCACTACATTAGATGTTTCTCACCTGGGTAAAGAAATTTCTGAAAGAGCTCTGGCTGGCTTTTTAGTTTCTTGCCTCAAAGTAACTGGATTTGGACTGCCAGAAGGAAATGTGATGCTGACCGAACTGGATCTACTGTGAGGAGAACTAATATTTCCGAAACCTCCTGGCGTCGTGGGAGTCATACAGCCGCTTCCTATATCGCTGCTGTACCTGATATTCGTATATTCTCTACCCAATTGCATTGATTTCTAAAAGGAAACGATATAATATTTCTTAAGAGGAAACCGAAGGATTTTTTAATATAAAATTGTATTTTTATGCATGTCATTGGGAATACTTTGTGATAATTATGTCTTGACAATATTGAGAGCTTTAAATTTGTGCAACGATAAAGCGGCACTTTACAAAGACGTTCAGGGAAAAAAATGGGAAAGCATTCCATTTAAAAACTACTTTTTTTAAACTAAAAAAATCGAAAAAGCGAAAAATCGAAAAATCAAAAAATCGAAAAATCTAAAAACCGAAAAATCGAAAAATCGAAAAATCGAAAAACCGAAAAATCAAAAAATCAAAAAACCGAAAATCAAAAAATCTAAAAACAAAAAAAACCGAAAAATCCAAAAATCGAAAAATTCAAAAATCGAAAAATCAAAAAATCGAAAAATCAAAAAACAGAAAAACCGAAAAATAAAAAATAAAAAAACCGAAAAATCATAAATCGAAAAACCGAAAAAATCGAAAAATCGAAAAACCGAAAAATCGAAAAATCAAAAAATAAAAAAACCGAAAAATAAAAAAACCGAAAAATAAAAAAATCGAATAATCGAAAAACCGAAAAATCGAAAAACCAAAAAGTAAAAAAAATCGAAAAATCGAAAAACCGAAAAATCAAAAATCCAAAAAAACAAAAAATCGAAAAATCAAAAAAATTGAAAAATCAAAAACCGAAAAATCGAAAAATTGAAAAATCAAAAACCGAAAAATCAGAAAATCGGAAAATCTAAAAAATCAGAAAAATCTAAAAAAATCGAAAAATCAAAAAACAGAAAAACCGAAAAATTAAAAAATCAAAAAACCGAAAAATCAAAAATCGAAAAACCGAAAAAATCGAAAAATCGAAAAACCGAAAAATCAAAAAAATCGAAAAATCAAAAAATAAAAAACCGAAAAATTGAAAAATTGAAAAACCGAAAAATCAAAAAACCGAAAAATCAGAAAATCGGAAAATCGAAAAATCTAAAAAATCCGAAAAATCTAAAAAAATCGAAAAAACGAAAAATCAAAAAAATCGAAAAATCAAAAAATAAAAAAATCAAAAAACATCGAAAAATTGAATCAAAAAACCGAAAAACCGAAAAAACGAAAAATCAAAAAATCGAAAAAATCGAAAAAAACGAAAAATCAAAAAAATCGAAAAATCAAAAAAATCGAAAATCGAAAGATCAAAAATCCGAAAAATCAAAAAATCGAAAAATAAAAAAAATTGAAAAATCGAAAAACCAAAAAATCAAAAAAACCGAAAAATCGAAAAATCCGAAAACCGACAAATCAAAAAATTAAAAATCAAAAAACTGAAAAATCGGAAAATCGAAAAATCTGAAAAATCGACATCAAAAAATCTAAAAACCGAAAAATCAAAAAATCGAAAAATCAAAAAATCGAAAAATCAAAAAACCGAAAAATCAAAAAACCGAAAAAACGAAAAATCAAAAAAATCGAAAAATCCGAAAAATCCGAAAAATCAAAAAATCGGATAATCGAAAGACCGAAAATTTGAAAAATCAAAAAATCGAAAAATGGGATAATCGAAAGACCGAAAATTTGAAAAATCAAAAAAATCGAAAAATCCGAAAATTCAAAAAATCGAAATAGAAAAATTGAAAAAATTAAAAAATCGAAAAAATCGAAAAATCGTAAAAGAAATTCCATAACGAAAATAAACCTCTCATTTATTCAATAAAAGAAAAAAATTGTTTTCTTATCGGTCACCACGCTCAAAAAGTGTAACTTGAATTAATATCAAACAAAAAAAAATACTGCATAAATAAAATAAATAAATAATTATAATTGCATAAGTTGATAAAAAATGCTATGCAATAGCTTTACCACGGCAGTGCCCGAGTGCCACGCGTATTTTTATTTATTTCTAACTTTCATGCTACTAAAATCCACCTAAACCAAATATTTTTAAATTCTTTTTAAAATGTTTCAAAACAAATACTTTTCGAAAGTTTACAAAAAATTCAAGTTTTCTCCACCCTAAGTTTTATTATTATTGATATTTTCTGAAAATTTCACAAAAATCGGAATAAAAATAAAGGGTCAGAATGAATTATAAATTTTCAAGGTGTCGGGTTTGCTCTTAAATAAAAAATTCTCAATAGTAAACTAATTGTACAGTATTTTTCTTTTTTATTATTATTATTTCATATTTTTGATTCTATAAGCTTCTTTCAAAATAATAATAATAATCGACTTACTTGTTCAGCCTTCATTCTTTCAGTAGTAGTTTCTATATGATGTTGTACCGCTAAATAAACAAATTTATATTGTGCTTCAGTCTGTACCATGCCGGAACGTTGAGATCTAACCATTTGTATTGTACGTTGAATGTCAATTTCACAATCGAGACCTAAAAAGTAAAAACTGTATTATATATTTATAAAGAAAAATGAAAATGACTTGTCGGTTGAAGTTCCGAAAACTACTGATAAAATCCAAAACAATGAAATATGAAAACCAAATAAAGAAAAATTGAAAAAATCCGCGAACATGTAACTTGTTGAGTTTGCACATAAGAATCCTGTCCCAGGTCCGTTATTCACAGGCTAATGCACTGTCAACAAGTAAAAAAGGATAAGATTCTAGGAATGCCTACTGATATAGCCATAACCACATACAAATTTGAAAGAAACTTTTCAAATTCAAATACCAGTCTGAGAATCCTGGAAAAAAGGACCTCCCGTACAGGCTGAATTCGTCTGGTATACAGACAGTTCCAAAACTATAAAACTGGAATCTATGAAACCGACGATTTCACTTGAGTTTAGAAGAATATGCAACAGTATTTCCGGCCAGCAAGTATCATGCCATTTACTCTGATAGTCGAGTAATTCTAAAGGCAATTCTCTCATCAAAAATCAAACCACGACTAGAAGAGCTAAGTACTCAAACCAAGATGACTCTAGCCTGGGTACCAGGCTACGAGGGATATCAGAGCAATGAAAATACCAACAAATTAGATCCAGAAGGCTTAGATAAGGCTATGAAAGCCCCCGAACCTTTCTGTAGAGTTGCTAAGGTATTGTGCAAAAAGGAGCAGGTGCTGGAATCTATGAAAATGACAATTTCGCTGAGTCTAGGAGAATATGCAACAGTATTCCAAGCCAGTATCAGGCAAAACTATTGCTATCTACTCTGATAGTCAAGTAACTCTAAAGATTATCTCATCAGAAATCAAATCACCTCTAGAAAACCTGGCAAAACTAAGTAGTCTAACCAATATGACCCTAGCCTCGGTACCAGGCTATGAGGAATATCAGGGCAACGAAAAGGCTGACAAATTAGCCAGAGAAGGCTCAGATAAGGCCATGAAAGACTCCAAACCCTTCTGTAGAGTTGCTAAGGTATTGTGCAAGAAGGAGCATGTGCTGGAATCTATGAAAACGACGACTTCGCTGAGTTTAGAAGAATATTCAACAGTATTCCAGGATAGCAAGTATCAGGCAAAACTATTGCCATCTACTTTGATAGCCATGTAACTCTAAAGGCAATTCTCTCATCAGAAATCAAATCACGACTACAGAGCTAAGTAATCAAACCAAGATGACCCTAGCCTGGATACCAGGCTACGAAGGATATCAGTGTAACGAAAAGTCAGACAAATTAACCCAAGAAGGCTCAGATAAGGCTATGAAAGGCACTAAACATTTCTGTAGAGTTGCTGAGGTATTACGCAAGAAGGAGCATGTGCTGGAATCTATGAAAACGACGACTTCGCTGAGTCTAGAAGAATATTCAACAGTATTCCAGGATAGCAAGTATCAGGCAAAACCATTGCCATCTACTTTGATAGTCGAGTAACTCTAAAGGCAATTCTCTCATCAGAAATCAAATTACGACTAAAAGACTTGGTAGAGCTAAGTAGTCAAACCAAGATGACCCTAGCCTGGATGCCAGGCTACGAGGGATATCAGGACAACGAAAAGGCCGACAAATTACCCCGAGAAGACTCAGATAAGGCCATGACAGGCCCCAAACCCTTCTGTAGAGTTGCTAAGGTATTTTGCAAGGTATCCATCTAACAAATGGATGCAAAAAGAGTGTCAGGAATGGTGGAACAACTTTCTAAGGTCAAAGAGTTTATCAAGGAACCATTTGTATAATACATGATAACATGTAACCCATTGACAATATGTATTCGTTTATAAAAGAAGTATATGATTCTTTTATAATAGAATTATTATGAAATTTACCCTCGAGGCTTTTCAGCCTTCGTTTGAAATTCTCTCAAAATTTTATGGGACGTTTGAATGGAATTCGTACGACAAACCTACCGTCATAATTCTCGCAATCCTCCTCCTTGAAGAGTATCTGACTTGTGGAACTTTTTTCTAGTTCCCAAAACCTTGAGAGATCAGGATTGATATTTTAAAATGACGTTAATTTGGTCAAAGGGCGAGAGATAATCCAGCCAAGTCGTGTTTTTTGAAAAACAGGTTTCTGTGAGGTTAATTTTATTTTTTATATGCATAAAAGATATCACAGAAGAGCCCTGTACCTATTAGAAGGTCTATGCAGGATGGAACATGGAACTTTGAATCAGATAAACGAATGTTTGAAGGTATGCACAAAGAATAAACGTCAATTGGTGAACCTTGAACCTGGTTACATATAGAAAAAGTAACCAAGCTGTAAAATGAAGTTGAGACATTTATATTTGATGCTGGAAGTTATCTGAGCAATTCCTGTCACTGAGATGTCAATGCGAGATAATGAGTAATAAAGTTAGACTAAGACGACTGGCCAAAAAGGCTCGACAAGTGTGTGCAACTCCAGAAATATCATGAATTTGAACAATAACAGTTACGAGATTTTGATTAATGTTACTCAACAGTACATTTTGTTTTTACATAAGACAAGCAATCTTCGAATACTTTCGGATGGCGTTTAGCGACAATTCCAATACTCTAAACTGAATTACGTACACACAAAGAACATATGCACTTATCGAGACACTGAATTTCTCGATTTTAATAAAGTTTATAAATGACCCGACTTTCAAATATTTATTCGGCTACGAAGGATCATTTGTTAGGAATTTTACCCAAATTTCTTATAAACTAGTCACAACGAAATAGGTATCACTGAATTAATTATCTAAATCTGTTTAAATGTCCCCGTATTTTCCATTAAAATATATACAAATAACAAGCACACCTAAATGCATATTTTCAATATAAAGAAAACAAAACTTTTTTATGAGGTCAGAAAAAATATATATACGCAAAAAATTAAAAGTATCTGATACATTCAGTTTTACTTTGTACACCAATTAAATTGTTTGTAACATTAACAATTGACTTGAAATTATGAATAACGATGTTCTTGGAAGGCCTATTGTACAAAGAAGGCATCTAAGTGAAACTGAAGTAGTAAGAGCCGTTACACTATTACAAGAAGGACGTTCGCAAAGATACGTAGCCCGCTTGCTTCAAACACCAACGATTCACCGAACGTGGAATAGATTTCAAGACATAAGTATTTTCCGTAGAACACGACGAGAAAGAGTAACTACGCCCCGATAGGACCGCCAAACTGTACGATTATCTCTATAAAATACGACAAGAACAGCTATACAGATAAGAAACTTACATTTTCAGGACACTGGTAGACGCATATCTCTACAGACTACACGCAACAGACTTCATGAAGCCCAACTACACTCAAGAAGTCAAACTATTGATCCTCATTTAACACCAGCTCATCGTAGAGCAAGAAGAAACTTTGCAGCAGAACATGTAAATTGGGATATTCATCAATGGAGCCATGTTCTTTTCACGGATCAATTAAGATTTTGCCTTTACTCCAACGATGGATGTGTGAGAGTCTATAGACGCCGTGGAGAACGATTTTTGGATTGCAATGTAAGAGAAGTAAGAGCTTTTGGCGGTGGTTCTGTAATGGTTTGGGGAGGTATTCAATTGAACGGGCGTACACGCTTACATGTTTTTGAAAATAGCACTCTAACAGATAGGCGTTATATCGATGAGATATTAGCACCTATTGTCGTTCCACTGGCTCATCTAGAAGGTCCTAATTTTGTTTTACAACAAGATAATGCAAGGCCCCACACTACAAGAATTGTTCAAAACTTTATTAAAGAGGAAAATCTTAATGTAATGGAGTGGCCAGCCAACAGCCCTGACTTAAACTCCATTGAACATCTTGGGAAGAACATTGCGGTATCGAGAACAGCCAAATAATCTACAGGTGTTAGCAGTACAACTTCAGGAGGAATGGAACAATATTCCTCAAGGAACGATTCGTCAACTAATAGAATCTATGCCTAGACCACAGTTTATAGCTAAAGAATCAGTTCGCTCACTCTGCGTCGGCACTTTTGATCTCAATGTTCCAGTTTATACATTGCGCAACTCGGATTTGTATCCCTTGCGCATACAGAATCAAATCATAACCAAAATTTGTATCCCTGGAGTGGATATTATTTTGGAACATTCAACTACTCCAAGTGAGCTAACTGATTCTTTAGCAATAAACTGTGCCTAGACGTTGTGTCGAAGTTTTAAGAGTCAGAGGAGGGCATACACATTATTAGTTTTTTGATTATTTTGAATTTTTTTTAATATTAATAAACAAGCGTTGTTATCAATTTGCTTTATTTTTAACTTTATTAAATGTACGATAATGCTTAAAATTAAAACTTGCACACTCTTAAAGACACATACCTAAACTATAAGAACACAAAATTTAAGGTAAGTATCTCATCTCTTTTTGGAGTTATAACAATTTAAATAAGTGATACCTATTTCGTCGTGACTTGTTTATTTAGTCCGCGAGTTCAGGGTAATTTGTTGTTGATGTTGCCTTTACAATATTTAAATCTTGACTGAATATATTACTGCTCGTTCCCAAGCCCATAAAACCTTTTTGCTGGAGACGGGTCAAGAAAACGATAGGATAGTCATGTAGTCAAGTGGTACATTTCATAATAAACATACTAGGAATTTCAACAATTACAGTATACACAATTTTCAATATAGTAATGTTATTTAACTTGCCTTGTTGCCACTGTTATTTCCTTTGTCAACACATTCGGAAAAGTTAAACATATCATTCGTTAAAATTGCAAAACAAAATAAATCTTCTTGAACCAGAATTTGAGCTCCCAAATGAAATCGATATACTCTCAAAGGTATTACCCTATTTTGTGATCTATTATTAGACGAAAGAAAACATTTCCTTAGGTAAAAGTGCCTTATATTACAAATTGGGGTGGATTGTTTCAATTTTAAATGTTAAAAGGAACAATTTTATCCCAGCTAATCCCCTTGTAACTCCTATTCATATCCAACCAGAATACTTTTTATTTGCTTATGCTATTTTACGGTCAATCCCTAATGAAATTATCATACTCTATTTTCGCCGGGTGAGGAAAGAACAGTCATATTATGTATTAAATATTTAGAACTAAACACTTACCATATTTCTTTAACTGGTCTAAAATCATGTCGATGACTATAAAGGTGCCTGTTCTACCTATGCCAGCAGAACAATGTACCAAAATAGCACCAGGGGGTTGGTGAGGGGATTCTAATTGCAAGGCGTCCTGTCGCTTATTCACTTCATGCAGGAAATTCAAAACACAGCCTGGATCTGAGGGTACACCATGATCTGGCCAAGCCTAAAAATATATTGAGATTAAAAAATACGTTACTGAAATGACTTTTTATCTTTCGACGAATTGTAAACTTATTGCTTCGGAATAAAAAATGCCACTTCAGCCCCGTGGATTATACGGTAATTCATGCATTTTATGATAAATGAAATTAGAAAAACCACTCAACGGTACTCTAATAACAAAGCAAAGACGATGCCAATGCAAAGTTGTTATGGTATAAATATATTTGACCAGAGATAACAGGAGATGTAGCTACTGATTGATAACATACAATATTCGTGATGCCAAGATTAATTCGACAATCCATACGCTTAAAAATAATTTTTAATCTCTAGGTAGTAAAAGTGCTGCCGTTAACTATATTGTATTTTTAATCCCTAGAAATTAAAAGTAAATTTTTAAACCCTAGGGAATAAAAGTGACATTTTAGTTCTTAAAAATAGGGTCCAAAAATATACTTTAAAAATGTATAAAGTTATTTTTTATACCTACATCAAATACAAAATAAGTAAGAAAATATTTTTTATTTCATTTTTTACGTGATACTGCAGACGAAGATTTCTTCTGAGGTGGCACCAAAGACTTTTTCTTTTTGTGGTAAAACCAACAAATTTGGCTTAGGTTGCTCTTGCAATCAACAAAACGCGTACGCGCATAATAACTGTAACGGGTTTCTGTAAAATTTTGACTTAGGTTCGTCTTGCAGTAAAGAATATCCTACAAGATTATTTAAGAATAGAAGAATGTAAAACATATTTTGACTAATGGTACCGTAATCTGGGGTGAGATCGGACAGGTAGTACGAGTTCGGACAATGGTGCGCGGCGTGGGAAATCACGTGACCACGAGCACGTTTTTCATTGGCGAAGTTTTTTGCATGTGTTTACATATCCAATATTGTCTCATTTCACTCCAGTTAGGTAGAAATTGCCGCTAGAGAAAGTTTGTGGTAAGTACGGGATATTTTGATATGGGTCGTAATTTGCATATTTTTTATAACGTTAGAAACAAACATCTGGGGGAAGGGATCTGTAAGCAATTGAATCGTAATTTTTCATATAATGTTGGTTTATATGTTTTCTAATGATTCATGAATAATTATCATTTATTTTTTCATTCCCGAATTTTTTTTCTTGTTATAGAAAAAATATAGCTTTTCGTGGGGCGAGTTCGGACACCATGCCCAGAAATTACAGGTGTCCTCTTGGCGTAAAACAAAGATCCAACTATGCCAAAGAGGCTTTAAATAAGGCTGTTGAAGATATCAGGACTAAAAGGAAGACCCTGAGGGAGGCAGCAGAGTTCTACAACATACCAAAATCGACAATAAATGACAAAATGACAGGTAAGCACGTTTAAAAAAGTAGCGGGCAAACCAAATTAAGCCAAGAACAAGAGAGTGAACTGGCACAAGGAATTTTAACTTCCGCCGAATGGGGCTTCTCCTTAACTAGGCTGGATATTGGCCTAATCGTCAAATCATATTTGGACAGATCCGGAACAAAAATCACAGGATTTAAAGACAACATGCCCGGGGAAGATTGGTTTTATGGATTTATGTTTAGACATAAAATTTTATCGGAGCGCCTTGCACAAAATATCAAGAGGAGTAGAGCAGAAGTCGATAGGCAAAAAGTTCAAGAATATTTTGATAACCTTCAGGCTGTTATGGGACCTATTCCTCAAGAGAACATAATTAATTATGATGAATCCAATTTAACTGACGATCCTGGAAGATCAAAGGTCGTTGGTAAAAAAGGATCCAAACATATAAATAGAATTGATTCTTCTAAAAGCAGCACGTCAATTATGATGGCTGCTAGTGCTTCAGGTGTTTTGCTGCCTCCGTATGTCGTATACCAAGCTCTTCATATTTACCCAACTTGGATAGAAGGGGGCCCAGAAGGCACTGTAAACAGTAGATCGAAAAGTGGGTGGTTTAAGACACCAATATTTGAAGATTGGGTTTTACAAGTGGTTTTGCCATATTTCCGCAAGTTAGAAGGGCGAAAGTTGTTAATTGGCGACAATCTTTCCAGTCACTTGTCATTGTTTGTGATTAAGCAATGTGAAGAAAACGACATTCATTTCATTTTTTTACCCCCATATGCCACCCACTTGCTGCAACCTCTGGATGTTGCGTTTTTTGGCCCCATGAAGAAACACTGGCGTGCAAACTTGACTGATTGGAAAATGAAAAATAAAGGTGTCCTGCCTAAATCAGAATTTACTCGTCTTTTAAAGAAAACTTTAGAATCTTTGGGCCCGAATATCGACAAAAATATCAAATCTGGTTTTAGAGCTTGTGGAATTGTTCCATTAAACGCTGAAATAGTTTTGGAAAAGTTGCCCGGAAAGACAGCAGAAAAGGATAATGCTAATGATTACTGGAGCCAAAGTTTTTCCGAATATTTAAAAGACTGTAGATGGGAGGAAAAAAGCGAAAAACCGACGAGGGGTAAAAAGCTGAATGTTGTCCCTGGAAAAGGTGCGAGAACAGAAGATCTTCCCCAAGAAGAAAATATCATTTTTGAGGAGAGTGATGTGGAAAACATTTGCGTAGAAGAGGAAGAAAACGTTTATGAAGACGAAAATGAAATGTCTGTATTTGAGCAACCTTCTACCAGCACTTATGAGAGAGAACCAGGAGTTGATCAAAATCTCATTGAAGTGGGAGATTTCGTTGCAGTTTCCGTTCCTTGTGGAGACCAAAAAAAATTTCGATATTTTGTTGGTCTTATAGATAAAATTGTTGATATAAAGGAAGAGCTTTTTTTAGTAAAATATCTTAGAATAAAAGGCGAAAAAAATAATTATTTTATATTTCCCGATATTTCTGATGAGGGACTTGCGTTTAAAAAAGATATTTTTAAAAAAATTCTTCTAAAAGAAATAAGAAGAGGAAGGCACTTTTTTAAGCACCTTCATTACGTGTTTTTTTAAATGTTTTTATGTTTTTTGGAAACTTATTTTAGTTTTATTGTTTATGTTCTTGGTTAATAACATAGTTATTACGTGTTTTTAAATGTTTTTATGTTTTTTTGGAAAAATATTTGAGTTTTATTACTTTAAATAAAATTGTTCGTACCGAAATTGTGTTTGGACCCCCTATCCCCCCTAAGAAATTTTTTTTATGAAATCTGTATATATGTATATTTAATTATATTTGTCCGAACAGACTCTTAATATAAATTAAGTTTGGATTTTCCTATAAATTAAAGGTGATCCGAACTTCGGACACCTTTCAATAATAAAAAAAAAATAGAATTTTTTGAAATATGCAAAAAACAAATACTGTATTCGATAGAGGAAGGTTTAAGGTTCTTATATTAATTTTTTCAGATTTTCACAAAAATCTAGCCTCTTGCTATTAAGAAAAAACCTTTAAAATGTGTCCGATCTCACCCCAGATTACGGTAGTCTTCTTTAAGGAGGTGGCTAGAGAGAGAGAGAGAAAGATATGCTTTATTGTCGTAAAAAAATTTACAAAAATTTTATAGACAAAGCGTGTAACTTAAATACTAAACATATTATAAAAATAACTAAACAGCAGAAAAAACAAACAGAAACAAACAGACAAAATAGGAATAACAATTGCAATGGATATGCAATATCCGTCATTATAATTATTCTAATTTAAGTTTTAAATTTAAATTTAAACTTTAATATTTAATTATTTAATTAATGCCATTGTATGTGGAACTCAAATGTCTAAGGTACGTTATAAAATTCTGCTACTGTGTAATATGGTCTTTCTAGAAGAAAAGCTTTAGCCAGTCTTCGGAACTTATCGTATGTATTTATAGATTTTAATTGCATCGGAAGGTTATTATACAATTTTTTTTTTTTACAATTTTTTTTTTTTACAATTTTTTTTTACAATTTTTTTTTACAATTTTTTTTTTTACAATTTTTTTTTTTACAATTTTTTTTTTTTACAATTTTTTTTTTTTACAATTTTTTTTTTTTACATTTTTTTTACATTTTTTTTTACAATTTTTTTTTTACATTTTTTTTTTTACAATTTTTTTTTAACAATTTTTTTTTTTTACAATTTTTTTTTTGACAATTTTTTTTTTTACAATTTTTTTTTTTACATTTTTTTTTACAATTTTTTTTTTTACATTTTTTTTTTTACAATTTTTTTTTAACAATTTTTTTTTTTACAATTTTTTTTTTACAATTTTTTTTTTACAATTTTTTTTTTTTTACAATTTTTTTTTTTTACATTTTTTTTTTATTTTTTTTTTAAATTTTTTTTTTTACAATTTTTTTTTTTTACAATTTTTTTTTTTACAATTTTTTTTTTTTACATTTTTTTTTTACATTTTTTTTTTTTACATTTTTTTTTTTTTTTTTTAGTTTAGTTACTTATAATACTTTAAAACTAAATATGTTGGTATTGTATTTCTGCATTTCAAAAAGGAACAACAATATTTTTAGTTATGTTGATGTTGTATCAGGAAAAGTATTTTCAGGAAAAATTCAATAGTAGCACTTCTGTTAAATTTAAAGAGAAGTCTTAGACAAAAATTTTGTATGACATATTTTTGCATATACTTTGTTTTAAGGTACAAGTCCTATGAAAAACACTATTTCATGCACTTAGAGGCTTACCTGAAAATGATAATGGTAAACCTTCCTTTCAGCACTTGATCCTTCCATAGTAACTAAAAATTCTCTTAACGTGTAATGGGGAGTGTGTGATTCCATTAGATTACGAACCTTAGATTTCCCATACTCTTTCATAGTGCTTACTTCTGGCCAATATCTAAAAATTTTAAAAAACAAGAATTGTTTTTTAATAATCAGTTTTTTTTTGTTTGGAATATTTATTTTTAGAACCATCAATTAATGTAATAAACATTATGCGATGCAACAATTTTATATTGTTTTTAATTTGAGGAAGTTGTTTTGATAATTTCATTAAATTAAACAAAGTTGTTTGATTTACTTAATTCACTTTTCTACTTTACTAATAATCATAAATTACTTGACATATCAAAACTGTTTTGTAAAAATGTATTTTTAACTAAATATTTACATTATAACAACTATTAGAAATAGAATAATATGGTCATGATTCATATGCACTTTGAAACAATAGAAAAATGCGTCTAATAATTTTTCTCTGCATTTAAAGAATTATTTCAAAAACAAAATTATTTGCAAGTTCCTTGAAACTCGTTTCAAAAAATATTCCTATATCTCCGGTAAGAATGTAGCAAAGAAAAGGTTTATAATGCCCTTAATACGTTTTTAAGAACAATGACATTAAACAAATAGTTTTAACTGAAATAGTTCGACCAGTTCGCGGTTTGAGTTATACAAGGTAAGGCACCGAAAACGAAACAGATGAAATAATAATAATTTGATAATGGCGCCTTTGTTTCGTCACTATTTCGAAATTAATAGATATATTAACTTCAAAATTTCAGAAAATATTTATAAAAAGTGTAGAGACATTATTCTGCAAACAAAAGTTTTAAATTTTAACAATTGTTAAAGTTAGAGAGTATCAAATTTGAATTGTCATTGATTATAAATTTGATATTGGCGCCTTTGTTTCGTTACTATTTCCAAACTAATAGATATACAGGGTGTCTGTAAAAGGTCTTTACAAAAACATACCACATATTCCTTAGACCAAAATAAGTCGATTTAAGTAAAATTACCTTAGTACAAAGTTACTTCGTTTGGACTCCAGAGGGCCTTGAAGTTACAATTTTTAAATTGTTTTTCTCATATTGGTATATTGGTAGAGTTTTATGTGGCAAAAAAAATGGTATTAAAATTTTGTCCGATAATAATACATAGGCGTAGAACTTGATTTTTTAAATAATTGCACCTTTAAAAATTCTACGCCAATGAAAGAAATGGAGTTTGAGTATGAAATTTAGATTGCGCAACTCATTTACTTTTAAAAAGGTACTCTTGATAAGACTCGATTACTCTCATGGTTTTGACGAAATTTGCATTTTAGTAATTTTAGAACATAAACAATAATTATTATTTTTAAGTGAAGATTTCTCAAAAAATATTCAAGAACAAAGAAAACTACTCAAAGAAGAAATGAAACAAGCAAATATGAACTATAACAGATTATATGTAAATGAAGAACCATTTATTGTAGAAACACTTAAATTAAATAAACATGCAAAAACTGCAACTGTAGCTATAGATTTCATACCAGATGACAAATCTAGAGGAAGAAAATTTAGTGAAAAAACCCCAGAAAGTGAACATGAAGAATCAAGAAAAGTAAGTAGAACAGATGGAATATCAGAACCAAAAACTAGAATACACAGTTAACATAAAAAGAACAGATATGGTAACGAAACAAGTAACGAATAAGGAACGAGATGAATATAATAAAAATAATAAAAACCAACAAATGTCAACAATAAAAAAAGATAACATGCCAAGTAATAAAAAGTCAGCTACGAAAAACAAAAACAATACAACTAAACGTGAAGAAAAAGTACAAAGATAACGGAAGAAAATTCCCCGAAAAATTTTTCAAATAGTTTTAAAATAAGCTTTTAGAAAACTTTTATAGGATTTTTGTATTTTTTTCTTATAGTTTTCTTTAAGTTTTCATAGAAGGTTAATACGAAAACAAGAAGCTTTATAAACAATCTCGATAAAAATCTAAAAATGTTACTTATGAGGTGTGTTATGAAAATCCCTTGGCTTCTGATTAAAAAACTAACAATAATACAATCTTTTTTAAATTTTATTACGTACATTTTGGTGAATAATTAGTGAATAGTTGTTATGTTCTTTTCCTTAGTGACTTTATGTACAACACTAATTAAAAGGTTTTAAAAATTGAAAAATACTGTGAATTATTAGATTTTTTTAAATAAAAAGAAATTTGTAAAGGATAAATATCAACATTTTTATATCATTAGAAAGGTAATCGAATTCTGCATGTAATGAAATGAAAAAAATTTGGTTGTCCCATTTAAAATAATCAAATTACCTTGGATTGAAATTTTGCAAATTGGCGTAGCGATTACAATAAACACGAAAAGCGTTTAACTTTGATCGTCTGGCAAATGTTAGTACATTTCATGTTTAGTAACACTGTAGAGTCACGGCCTTCTAAGTTTTATAATAACTGCGACATTCAATTTTTACTAGACATCTACTTTTTGAAAAAATAATGAATTGCTGCTTAACGACTCATTTTAGATACCATGTGTGATACATAAAGTCACACTAAAATTGACCGAGGAATCCAAATATGCAATAATATACAGGGGGTTCCTATTAAAAAAACATAACTTTGATATAAATCACCCTGTAAAACAATTGGAATTTTATCGAAAATATTTTTAGGTTGTAGCCTTAGAAGTGCTACACCATGCCCCAAAAATGAATTATAAAAATGTGCCTTAATAAACCCGCAATACTCCACCCACGCACTAATGACCCACCCTGTATAAATCATATTTAAGTAATTATTACCATTAATATTTTTCCTCACAAAATTGTATATTTTTTTCTTTATTTTAATTTCTTTGTTAAGATAATCACTAAACTGTATAATGACGTGTAACTAATAGTGAATACTGTTCCTGGGTTCTTCCCATCTTGTATTCCTTATTAAAATAAATAAATATATCAGATGGGTTTCAAATCTACAAACTCACCTGGCGCATTTGTTCTTCCCCCTTTCCGTTTCTTTGGTTGTCATTACAATCACTCGGCAATTTTCCTGCCATACCATTTGCCAAAAATCGGCGATCGTCGAAGGTAGACACCCTTGCGTCGCAATGTACACTTTTCCGCTCGGATCGTTACCCAATTGCTCGCAACCGACACCTTCGTCCGACCACCGAATGTAATTCGCGTTGATGTAGTCGCTGCCGGGCACTTTTGGGTCGACGTCTTTGAGTTTCACCCGAGTATCATCAACTGTAAATAGTAATTTAAGTCACAAGACCGGAAAGTGGTGATTTGTAGATTGAGATAAGTAGTGGAAGCTTAGAAAGATCTGCTTGATACTCATTTTGGGTCGCGTGATGAACAATATTTTTTTTTAAGACTGACACTTCGATGTAAACTCTATACAACTGCATAAACTAACCAAAAACATTATTTTCTATATCAGCTGATTTAAAATCTAAATCAATATTTGCGAAAACAAGTTTGACATAAGCAACAAATTAAAAATCGATGAACTCTCACTTGGCAATAAATTGCAACGTTGTTATCATAGTAACGAAATCAAGGCAGACTGTATTACCAAACAGCGATCGGAAAAATAAAAAAATAGGGACCGGTAAAGCTTTTACCGGTTCCTAACGTCTGCTTTCCGGTCTTCATCGGTAAAACGTTATTTTCTGATTGAAAAACTGTTCAGAAAGTGTTTACATTCTGGTCGGTCTTATATAGTACAGATACCACACTATTGCACATAACTAACAAAATATTTCATCCCTTAGATACATATCTCGTTTAGGAAACTGTCACAAACATTGACTCTGCTGTAACGGACTGTCCTTTCCCTAGCTACTTGTGGAATCAAATATGAATTCTAAAAACAACAATACAACAGCATCAACTTCGAAAAGGCACACGACGAAAGCAACGTTAAATACCCGAGGACGAGGTAAACTCTGGCCGTGTAGGTGAACATTTAAGAACGAGGCTAAAGAAGCTCTTGAAAACTGCAAAAGGCAGATAATTAAGGAATATTTACAAAGGGACCAAACAAAGTCACAATGCCCCAGAAGCTAGAGTGTCAAGATAACAAGACGAAAGAAGCTGCCAAACAAGGCACATTAGATGCAACATTGCCTCAGTTCAGTCGACCGAGGAAGAAGACAAGAACGTTCGAAGAGGTCCTTACCTCAATAAAGATTGCAGTGGTAGCAACGAAGTAACCGGAGATCAAAATGAATCCAGAGAGACTAGGAAAAGTCCAAGTCTCGATCTCCGAAGTCCACGATCTAATCATATCCTGCGGGACATCGTCACAACCATCCAATCTTTAGAAAGGGTAATCCTCACAGTGGGCTAACTCGCAGCAAAACCTGGCCATGAAGGTAAAAAAAGTTGCGATTTTAAACTTTAGTTTCATGAAATTTCGCGTAGAAGACACCAGTGAATACTTGTCCAACACTTTGGTGGCATTCCATTTCCTAATCTCGATGATACGTGTCGTGATAGTCGAGTAAACACGCGACGTCGATAACAGCGGTATTTTAACTGACATTTAGCGCATTGTTATACATTATTGAAAGTGATCCGATCGAGTTCTTCTGTTTACATAGATGGATAGCACCCCGAAAGGTAAGTTATGACATTTATAACCATTTTAAACAATTATTTTGACTTTAAATGGAAGTATATTTTAACCTGTATCCCGTGGGAGTCTTAAAATCAACAACAAAAAGGCTAGACAGAGAAAAAGGTGGTCACATTATAAAAAAAAGTAATCTTCAAAATGATACACGATTCAAAACACGAAAACATCGACGACGTAGAAGTATTCTTAAAAACACTTAGAAGTTTACGAGAGGCAGCATAGAAAGAAGGACAAATAAATATAGCAATGCCAGTACCAGAGATACTGGATCCAGTAGTAATACGAAAGATTATTGAATTCGTATTTCTAAAATCAGGAATTAAGATACAGCTGTACACGGCCAAACAAAACTACGCAGAAGCCTTATCGGGAAATACAAAGGAGATACAAAGAACAAAACAAACAACACGAAAAGATATAGAAAACACAGGTGTGGTTATAATTAAATCAGGGCGGAAGCAAAACGCCGACCTTCTCAAAACAGTCAAAGAAGAGGTACAAACTCGGATCATGGTATAAAGTCAGTGAGACAAACAAAGGACGGTTATCTTATGTTAAGAACAGATGGAGAACATATGGCGGCAAACATGCTAAAAGAGACACTAGCAAAAGGACTTCAAGAGAATGACATTCTGGTCAAGAAAGATACTAACACAAGAATCGTACATATCATGGGAATGGATGATATAACAACAAAAGAAGTAGTCATCGAAGCAGTTAAAACAACACTAAATGGCAAGGACAATTTTATCGTCACATCACTAAGACCAGCATATGCCGAAACACAAAACGCTACTATAGAAGCAGGACAAGAGGAGGTACCAACTCTTCTATCAACGGGAAAAATAAAAATCGGATGGGCAAATTGCAGGATCCAAGAAAGAATAAATCCGAGAAGATGCTTTAAATGCTAAGAACTCGGCCACAACACCAGGGATTGCAAAGGACCAGATGGAGCGGAAAACTGTCTTAGATGAGGGAAAATTGAAAACAATGCCAAAGATTGTAAGGGCGAGGAATATTGCTACTCCTGCAAAAAGAACGGACATCGAACGGACGGAATGAAATGTCCAGCATATCAAAAATTGATACGGATCACTAGGATAGGTAGCACCCAATAAATAAGTTAATGGACAATACAAACAGAAAAAACAACAAAACCACTTGCAAAGGACAAAACCTAAAAATCCTGCAAGCACTTTGGTAAAAGTTTGCAGTCATTTGTTGAACGAACTTCCACTAATAATTTTAGATCGTCTGCATACTTTAAGACCTTTATATCATTGATGTTTAGAAAAATATCATTCAAAAATATATTGAATAAAAAAGGCCCCAAAATTGGTCCCTGTGGTACTCCTGATAACTGCTGGAATTTTTCTGACTTATAACCTCGGCACTGTACTTAGTTTTTGTTCTAAGGCCTCTGACATTTTGATAGTATAATATAAATTTACTACTCCTTTGGTTAATACCGCAACAGGTATTAACGAAGGAAAAACAGCAGAGATAGAAATTAAATTTCAACACTCTCTACCTTTGATTTTGTTCACTAAGGAGAACATCATTCTTGGACCGGTTTCGTCCTTATTAGGACTCCTCAGCAAGAAATAGATAGGTTCTCAATTCCAGTCTCTAATGAAATTAACAAATGCTACACATTTCACCAGTATACAATAAAGTTGGTTATGAAGAGAATAAGAATTCGTTTTTAGAAATATTTATGTTATGGTTTGATTTGAGATTAGCACAATTTACACATTTTAAACTAGCAGAGTTACAATCTTTTACATCGTGATTGGAGGCACATTTGGGACATGTAGGGTCTTTTTTACTGCATTGATTTGTTAAATGGTGAAGACCCCAACAATTTAAACACCTACGTACACAGGACAATCAAAATCAAATCTGATGATTAGTTTATCTAATTTCGTAGTTTTGTGATAAGTATTTGCATGCACCTGGAGGACAGCTTGGAACAGTTTACTATTCTTTAAGTGCGGTTTAACGTAAATTATTTTAGGAGCAGAATTTTCAATAAAACAGGATTTATTTTGTTGTTTAAGAGTGGCATCATCAAATTTTTCAGACATATTAGCGATCTTAATTCGTGGGTGGAGAGAGGAGATAGATTTCACATCATATTTGTCACCTAGATTAGTGTTGAGGATATGTTGAAATTTGGAAGAGTTATCTTTATGACTAACCCACCTTGACGAGTTCCAGTGACATTAGAGACATTAATATTGGCCTTTATGGGATCAACAGTTCGCAGAACTTCAGATTTTGTTGTAGATACCGGTTGGACTGTATTTTTAGGATGAAACATAAATTTAGAATTCGAAGCAATATCAGCAAAAGTTGGTTCATTACTGTTGATAAATTTCTCAGAGATATTAATTTTTTTAGACTAGTTTTAATTCTAATTTTTGGGTAATCTATTTTCGAAAGTTTTCAAAAATTGTAGATGTAACATCAGCTATCGTTTTATCAATATTGTTGTTGATGCCATCAACTTTTTCTTTGAATTGCTCATTTATTGATTTATCGACGATATCAATTTTATTTTTACAGGAATTACATATAAAATACAGGTTATTGGATTTGTGTAGCAATTTAAATTCAGCATCACTTAACCAAACGCAGTCAGGATGGAACCAATTACTACAAGGGCCTCACAACCAACCAAGTTTTTGTTTCTTTTTTTTTTTTCAATTTGCATTTGGCACAAGATTCGGGCATGTTGCTTTTTGGAATTAAAAACTACAGCTTATTGCGTGCAATTTATACGCGCCCAAGTTTTTTAACTTAAAAAAAAGTGTAAATTGTGAATTCGAAAGATTAAGATTAACCTTATCGATGTTTTTGAAAAAGAATATTCCAGTTACTGCAGTTAATAATTAATTCTAAGACGTATTTAAATAACTTTGATTTTAACAGTGTCACACACACGAAACAACGTGTAGGACCAACTGCACCGCTTTGAACAGTACGCGGTAAAACCCTATCGGGAAAAGGTCAAACGTGGGCTTTCTCGATGGATCCTGAATCTTCAAAATAATTAAAAAAGTAATTGGCTAATTGTCAACAATAGAGAGGAAGTTTTTACTTACCGATGAGCAACTATCTTAAATTTAAACCCAAAGTTATAAAACAATTTTAGAAAAAACGATTTCAAAATTATTACGGTCTTAAAATTAATAATATATTAAAACTTACAGGGTAATATATTTTTGTATCTATTCTTATTTCTATTTTCAGGCTTTATTCCCTCCTTTCTGTGGTATAAATGTTTGAATTCTTGTTGCTGTAACGACTCGAATTCCTCCCAAAATCCAGCCTTTCCAAAACTGTTTGGGCCATTTTCGCTCTAAAAATACATTTAAAATTAAACGAAAAATAATTCAACCATTGTTTAGAAACAATAAGGATTAGATATGGGAAAATAGAATTAATTTATTCCGCTAGGAAATGTTCGCTAATAGAAACAAAAGTGATATAAGTGATTTACATCATAAATTATTTTTATATAGGTATCATTAAAAATAGAAAACATTCAATATACACGACTGTCGATTCAAACGTATCAATTCGGAATACTAATAGATGCACAGCGCAATTTATTAATTAAATAATAAAATTAAATATAAAAACAATAATTCTACACTCAAGGGTTATATTCCACAAGCATTGACAATTTTTTGATAACATTTAGTTGTTTCCTTAAAAATTATGCGTCTAAATTTCAGGAAATACCACTCGTGGTATTTTAAGGCGGAAATTTGCATAATTTATAAGGAAACGACAAAAAGTTACCTTGTGTGGTATTTGGAAAGATTATTTTACAATATAAACAGAGCTTTTAAGTACAGTTTTTCGTTAATTTTATAATTATTCGAACAACCAAACGATTTTTGTCACCATGCAGTGTTTTCAGATACTATTCGTTTTGATTGGCGTGGGAAAAAAAGAGGATTGTCATTCGTTAATAGTGTTAAATGATCACTTTAATTCTACACAATTTTTTAATAATCAATAAAACTATGATAGTAAAAAATGTGAGTCACTTTTACCATTTCAAATAAAAAAAGGAACATGGGTATGAAAATTAAGGATTTACTAATAAATATTACCTGTAACTGTTTAACCCTAGAATGAATCCCTGATGCATTTATCCTGGTAGCGTTAAAAGGTTGTTTAAGATGGACTACTGTACCAGAAGTCTCGACCATAGGATTTCTCTTATAATGTTCTATTAAATCTGCTAAACTATTGAATTGTTCACCACCGCCGACATCATATCTATTGTCCTGTAAATAATAATTTAAATATTTTACTACAATCGTCGATAAAATCTATTACCATAATTAATTAATGAATGTGACGAATACACACCAGACATTACAAAATCTAATAAATATGCAGGGTAATAAATATCACAAAAGGTGAGAATATTCTCAAAAAAAATCTCAACTCGCGTGGTATTTGGAAAGATTATTTAACAATATAAACAGAACTACTACTAGAGGGAGTCTTATCCCCTTCCCCGCGCTAAATTTTGTTAGCAATATCTATTCCCCCGAGGGGAGAAATACCTCTTCTGTTATTAGCTTATTTAATAAGCGTTGCTAAGTTTGACAGCGAGAGTTCTGACACTTTCTGACACATGTCTATTTCTGATTTGTATTTTATTACGAAAAATATAATTATAGCCTTGTAAGGGTTTTAAATGTATATTTAACATTTATTATCTGTAATACCACATATTCCTTAGACCAAAATAAGTCGATTTAAGTAAAATTACCTGAGTACAAAGTTGCTTCGTTTGGGCTCCAGAGGGCCTTGAATTTACAATTTTTAAATCGTTTTTCCCATATAAATTTAAAACGGCATATGCGATTTTGCTGAAATTTGGTATATTGGTAGAGTTTTATGTGGCAAAAAAATGGTATTAAAATTTTGTCCGATAATAATACATAGGCGTAGAACTTGATTTTTTAAATAATTGCACCTTTAAAAATTATACGCCAATGGAAGAAAAGGAGTTTGAGTATGAAATTTAGATTGCGCAACTCATTTACTTTAAAAAAGGTACTCTTGATAAGACTCGATTACTCTCATGGTTTTGACGAAATTTTAGTAATTTTAGAACATAAACAATAATTATTAAAATACAAACTTTGTCAAAACCATGAGAGTAAATCGAGTGTTATCAAGGGTACTTTTTTGTAGTAAATAAGTACCCAATCCAAATTTCATACTCAACCCCCTTTTCTGCCATTGGCACAGAATTTTTAAAGGTGTAAATATTAAAAAAATCAAGTTCTACGCCTATGTATTATTATCGGACAAAATTTTAATACCATTTTTTTGCCACATAAAACTCTACCAATATACCAAATTTCAGCAAAATCGCATATGTCGTTTTAAATTTATATGGGAAAAACGATTTAAAAATTGTAACTTCAAGGCCCTCTGGAGCCCAAACGAAGCAACTTTGTACTAAGGTAATTTTACTTAAATCGACTTATTTTGGTCTAAGGAATTTGTGGTATGTTTTTGTAAAGACCTTTTACAGACACCCTGTATAGGATGAGGACCGAAAACGAAACAGATCGCATATCTTGAAGACACATTATTATTATTTCATCTGTTTCGTTTTCGGTGCCTTACCTTGTATAACTCAAACCGCGAACTGGTCGAACTATTTCAGTTAAAACTATTTGTTTAATGTCATTGTTCTTAAAAACGTATTAAGGGCATTATAAACCTTTTCTTTGCTACATTCTTACCGGAGATATGGGAATATTTTTTGAAACGAGTTTCAAGGAACTTGCAAATTATTTTGTTTTTGAAAGACCTTTTACAGACACCCTGTATAGTTATATTGCATCCGTTTTGTTACAGAACCTAAAAATATAAGTCTTAAGCTTTATTTTGCTTTAAAATTGGTTAGCCTAACCATAAGCTATAATAGCTCATTAAGTTAAAGGGCTATTATGATACAAAACTTGGGGCTATTGTGATACAGAATATGGGGCTATTGTGATACAAACATTGGTTTGAATACAACCTAACCTACCATATTCATCCACATTAAAAACACGATGTAAAAAATCTTTTTTAGATTTGACTGAATTTATTTTCGGGAATGAATATGCTCCAGTACAATAACGATTTCTCGTTGTTTCAGGTGCATCTAAGTGTTTATTACATCCATTTTCAAGACCACGTTTTTAAGATGGTTCGAAGTTATAAACCTAAGGGTGTGCGAATACAATACCCTGAAGAAACTTTAGCAACAGCACTTGAAATAATTAAAGCCGGAGAGACGCTACGAAGTGTGGCTCGAGACTTGAAGATAGAGAAAATGTATTTATACAGATATAAAACTAAGAAAGAAAAAACAGAGTAAAGGGGAGAAGCAGTTGATGAAGAATCAACAGATGAAGATATGGGGCAAACCCCTGTAACCGAAAGAAAACCCGGTCACCCCATTGTATTTTCTGCAGAAGAAGAAACTCAATTTACAGAACACATTAAAACATTGGCTCATTGGGGATTTGCCATAGGTAGAGTAGAATTAATGCAAGTCGTTAACAATTACGTAGAAGAAAACGATATTAAAGTGCCTTTTAAAAACAACATGCCTGGACCTGATTGGTTTAAAGTCTTCTGTGTCAGAAATCGGCTAAGTCCGAAACGGTTGGAACCACTTGAAAAATCAAGAAGAATTGCCACTGGGGACCCATTCGTTATTTACAATTTTTACGATTTGGTCGAACAACAACTAAATTCTCCTAATTTGCATGACCGGCCTGCCTATATTTACAATTTAGATGAAATCAGTTTTTGTGCGGATCCGTCCCGCATCAAGGGTCTTTCTAAAATATGACAGAAAGCTCATCGGCACATAAAAGGCAGTGGACGTGAAAACACTACTATTCTCGCCTTACTCCCGCTGATAACATTTCAGTCAGCAAATCTCTGGACTACGTGGAAAGGAGATAAAGACCTTCCTGGTACATTTTATTCGTGTTCCGAGAACGGGTGGATGACGTCAGTGATCTTCCAGAACTGGTTCAAGCAGTTTTGTAAGAAAGTTAAGGAGAGGCCGGTACTTTTACTGTTTGATGGTCACCTGACTCATCTCGACCAGACCACAATTCAGCATACACGTGAAGAAAATATAACTATCATTAAACTTCCGGCGCACACAACAGATCTACTCCAACCTCTAGACAAAAGTTGTTTTAGATATCTAAAATACAAATGGGATCTTGCTTTAATAGAGTGGTATCGAAAGAACCATAGAAAGATGCAGAAACAAGAATTCGTTAATTTGCTCTGTGAAATCTGGTCCGATGGCTTGACGCCTGAAAACATAATTTCAAGTTTTCGGTCAACCGGAATATATCCGCTAAATAGGACAAAATACCCGACATCTAGATTTAATCCTGAAAAATACGAAAGGTATAAACAGAACAAGGATGCTCCTATCGCCAATCCCCATGATACCTCTGAGGACGGTATCATCGAAGAAGACTGGTTAAATGAACCGTCTACATCAAAAGCATCTGTAGACCCTGCAATAGATGATTTCAACGGAAGACATCTTGAAGTTGCAAGATGATCTTTGCGCCATCTATAAGTTTACATAACAACTAATAAAATAATAAAGAAAACTGTAAATTATTATTTTGGCAATCTGTCTAAAGTTACGGCGGCGTTAGCATAAATTTCTTTTTTTCTTGCCTTCTTCTTCAGTTCAGTTTTCACTCTCACTATCGCCAAGATCTGGAATCTAGATCTACATGTCTTGCTAAGCGCGCGTTAGGTCTCTATGGCTGATTTTTGTTAAATTAAACCTTTTTTAATGGGTGTCGGCTGCATTACCCAACAATGATAAATACATCTATTCACTTTCAAATTTAAAGTAGTAAACAAAAGGTGCACACCTACCTTTTAACTTTACTTTTCATCATTTTCTTTGTGTTTCTAAGCTAGTATTTTGAAAATAAATGCAAAAAATAATTCAAAAACAAAACCAGAAATTGTAACTTCAATTTGTTTTGTTTTTACAAATATTGACATAACACATGACTAAGAAAAAGAAGACTCTGGGACCTGGCACTAAGTAGATAGAGATGGTGAAAAACTGAGCTCATACAACTAATGAAGAAGACAAATAAAAAAGAAAAAATGAATACCGACGCCGTAACCTTAAACAGATTGCCAAAATAATAATTTACAGTTTTCTTTTTTATTTTATTAGTTGTTATGTAAACTTATAGATGGCGCAAAGATCTTCCAATGACCTTGCAACTTCAAGATGTCTTCCGTTGAAATCATCTATACAATTTCCTAAACTACCAGTTGAGCTTGCTACAGGTTCCCCAACCATATCTGGTACTTCGACACCTACAAGACTCTTTCAAAGCGTAATTATAGACCTTTTTAAAGGTAAAACAGACCCTAATAAAGCGAGAAGAAAAAAGATTGATCCTTTGGCCAAAGTTATTACATCTGAAGAGTATGCAGAGGAAATAAAGGAAAAGCGAATAAAAAGAAATCAGGTGCAACCGGGAAAGGCAAATCCTTATTAAGTGAAAAAAAAAAATAATTAAAAAGGTGAGAGCTACACCCGAGGCTACACCTAACAAAGCAAGTCTATCCTGATAAATGGAAAACCTAGACCTAAATCAAAACTTATTTAGTAAGCTATTTGAAAGATTAATTTTCATTTTCTATTTTGTGATGTCAAGAATATTCTTGACATGGTTTTATTAAAAAATGATCGGTTGAAACTAATTTATTTATGTTGAATACATATTGAAAAGTTTAAATGACGGAAAGTTGGTAGATTCTGTGTATACCGACTTCAGTAAGGCCTTTGATAAAATTGACCAACAGATAAATATTTACAGGAAAAAGCTTGTAATATCTAGACATGACTATGTTAGGGACACTTTAGATTTTTTATTTGGGAGAGTACTATATTATCATGTAGTTTTCCCGTAGATTAAACATCTTATTATAATTTTTCAAAATACTTTATACATAGCGATTTGAAATAATAAAAATATCAATTTTACTGCAAATAAAACAATACACTATTTTGAAATCAGTAACTTACCGGTGTACATCGAATCATAACGTGCGTCACTTTATCATCTGTGCGTACAGAAAGAACGAAATCTCCTGGTTTTGACTGACTTTCTCTGACTAAAAAACTACCATTTTTACCTCTATCTAAAATAAGCTTTTCGGCCTCTTTGCCAGACAAATGTCCGTGAAACCACCTGCAACAATAAAAAAGATTTTTATTAAAAATTAAGAGCATTTGTTCGTACAATGATGAAAACATGTGGTGTTGGAGTAGGGTTGCCAGATTTCCGGCAAAATCAATTTATTATTGTCAAAGATCATATTAGTATTCTAACAAATTTAGCTGTATTGGATTTAACAAAATTAGTTGTTAAATCTGAACCCTTATAAATTCTAAGTTAATAGATATTCTGTCAAGGTTGATTTTAAAAAACTAAAGGTAGTTTTCTCTTTGATAAACCTTGTATATAGGTATTCTATGTTTATTTCGTTCCATTTAAATACTATATTTATCAACATTTATGGATAATTAATTTGTCTATTATAATTTAAATCTAAAATACGCAAAAAACCACTACGAAAACTAAAAAACATCAATTTAAAGGAAATAAAACTTGTTGTTTGAAATATAAACGCATCACATTAATTATTTATTTATATATTTATTTATGGATGTTGTGAAAACAGGACTTATTTTAACAAATAACTATTCTAGTTCAGCACACACGATGACGTTAATTCAAACTATTTTACAAATTAATTTGATTTGTTTTTAATGACAATGACAAAGGAATGTTATATAACAACAACAGCATTATTTACTAGAAAAAAATCAGTCGTTATGTGTCTAAATAGCGCCTGAGATATTTTTATATTTAATTATATCATTAAATTAAAGTGGCGGAAGTCTATTATACATTGAAAATATAAACATACCCTTTAGATCTTTGGTAAACTGAGTGTCAATTGATACTGACAACAAAATAACAAATAATTGTGTGAAATTATTTTTTAGTCATGGAAATATTAAAACAAAGAGGAATTGATGAAAATCTTGTAAAATTAGATCATGAAATTATAGATAACTATACGCGGAACTAAGAAGCTTTCTTAACCCTAGAATAACTTCGAGGATATGCAAAGATTTTGGCTTTATATAAAAAGAAACGTGCTAGCTATAGTCTATTTTTATGTATGAGAGAGTAATAAAACAGCATTTCTAATGCAAAACTTAGTAGTCATTTTAAATATTTTTACAGAATAATCTAAATATTTCCTAAAATTGTAATAAATGTACCTGAGCTATTACAAGTTTTGTGTCTTTTATTGGTCCTTTATAAACATAAGCTTACAGAACAATAGAAAAAGGTTTGGACAGGCTAAAAGCCCTGTGTATTAAAGATTACATAGCCGTATCTTAAGATTATTTTCAATAAGTACCTATTTGCCAATTTTGTTTTATTTTAATTCCAAGAATTTCTTACAGTAATCGAATTATAAGTAGATAAATACCTTCCCAACAAATTTCACCGAAAATGCGAATATAGGTTTTCCATTTAGTAAGGAGGTCCAAGTTGTGTATTCTTGACAGTTTATTAAATGTCGTTTAGTTGTAACTTGCAAGGTGCAGTGTGAATTCTAGTGTGATCATGGAAAATTTGGAAGGGCCGCGTAAACGACAAAAAATCGGTCCTTTAACAGTTAATGAAAAAACATTAATATTTAATTGTTTTAAATCATTTACAGACAAACATTTATGTAAAAGTGTTGATGACACAGTGGAATTAGTACGCTTGGTGTTGGGAAATCTACGATTTACAGAGGTGTTAAAGAAGAGAAATGTGGCGAGTTTCAAACAGCACGTAAAGCTCCAGGAAAACCAAAATTTCAATTAGAAAATCTTTTGAAAGAAAGACTTCGAAGGAAAGTGCATGCGTTCTTCTTTAGAAAAGAATTTCCGACAGTAGACAAAGTTCTTGCCACGGTTCGAGATGATAAGGATTAACCTGAAATGAGTCGAAGCACACTATGGAAACTTTTAAAAGAAATAGGTTTTCTATGGAAAAAGCATTCCAGAAAGTCTATTTTAATAGAAAGAAGCGATATTGTAGTATGGAGAAAAAATTACCTAAGGACTATAAAAGAAATAAGAAACCAAAGAAGAAATATATTTTATTTAGATGAAACATGGATCAACGAGGGACATAAACCAAATAAATTTTGGCAAGATGAAACTGTTATTATGAGGAGAAGAGCAGGTGTCTGTATTGAAATGAATGGTGGCCACATTGAACATTTACTTTAAATAAAAGAGTCAGACTGATATGATAAAAAAATACGGTACTTTCCATAATAGTAATAAAATATTTTTCACTTTAATTTCTCTCTCTTTTATTATTTAAAATAATTTCGGCGCTTCTCTTGTTTAACAGGGCGATTTGGTAATTCTAAATTGAAATAACCACGCCATAATTTTCATAAATTTATGTTGATTAACCTGTGAGCAACCCATCAAAAAATAAATACATACTTGTTTTTCAAGTACGGGTTCAGTAAAATGTTTGCCTTCAATTTTTTCGAAAACGGTTGCTTTAAGCGACTTGCAATAAGAGTACCTTTTTTATGGAAAAAAGATAGTAGTTTTTAAAAAATAGACCCACGTTGTAAAAAAATCAACCCCTAAAAAGTTAATCATAAATCGACCCCTTACCCTGGCAAGAACTACCCTTTCTGATTAAATAAGTAATTTTTCGATATTACCATTGGATTCAGCAGTAAATTTTATGTCAACAGGGATTTTTATCGTGTTTTTAAGCTTACAATTTCAAAAAAAAACACCTTCCAAGTTTGCCCTTCTGACGCCCCTAAATCCCTTAATATGTATTTAACGACCCATAGTTATAGGAACTCTTTGTACTAGTTTTAGGAGTACTATCACCTCCCGAATTTTTTTACACTATTTCAATGACACCCTGTATATGGAGTAAGTCAGACAGGCAGATACAAGTAGACAGGCAGAGACGACAGCATACAGGCAGAAACCAATAGACAGGTAGAGATGACAAGTGAATCCTTGAACAAATAGCAGAGGAAGAAAACAAAAAGAATTTTATTTTATTTTTGTAAATAATTTTTGAGATTGTTAATTGGTTGAAAATCAGAGACAACTAAGGAGGTTTCCATATCAATTTATATAGTTATTTATTTTTTCTTCATTTACGTGTGCAAAATATAAACCTTAATAAAAATAAATTGTAATTATAAAAACCTCACCAACTTGGATAAAAAAAATCCGGGTATGTATAATTTGTAAAAAAAATAAACAGCTAGACACTAAACAAAAAAAAAAGCATTAAAATTGTAATTATCTCAAGTATTTTTATCATTTTATGGCAATCAAGTAATGCATATATGTAAATGTATATCCTTGCATCATATCCGTAACAGTCATTATTGTGGGTGTCACTGACTTTAGTTTGCAATTATTTGTTCCCAATTAATATCAAGCTTTGTGTAATAATGTTCATGATGGTTAGATACAAAATATTTTCAATTATTCTTCTCAAATTAATGATAATATTAATAATTCTATTTTAGAAAATAAAAAGTATTTACGTGTTCAAAATACTATTGCTGTACGATATTAAGACAAAATTATTGAAATTAATAATATGAAATAATAAAAAAATATCTGCACTCTGGAAAAAAAATTTGCTATTTTACGTTCAGTTATATAGTTGTGATTTTCATTTGGCCCTATTTAAGTAGGGCTCAAAGTTATTTTAATCTAAATTACAAAGTTGATTTATATCGTAGCTGAACATTTCATATAACCTTGACTGAAGAAAATATAGAATCCGATAATAAATGTAATTTAGATGTAAAAAGTCTTCAGTTAAGTACAGTTACAATTTTTAAATAATGCAATTGAAACTTGCAGCTTTGATCAACTTTACGTTTTATTTATCTATACATAGGTGTTAGTTATTTAAATGTAAAAATATCAAATCTAACATAGCTCCGAGTCAGGATGCTCTCTCCTTCCTCCTACCTACTAAAAGGAGCACTGAAAGTTTCTTCCTAAGACCAGTAGACAAGCATGAACTAGTGCAAACCATAAACAACATCCAAAATAAATTTTCCTGTGGAATTGATGGCCTGTCCACCAAAATATTTCTAAATATACCGGATGTAGTAATCAACATTTTAACTTCACTGATTAATGAATCCTTTGAAATTGGTCTCTTTCCTAACTGTCTAAAAACAGCTATAATAATCCCACTTCATAAAGGTGGCGACAAAACCAAAACCTGTAACTATAGACCTATCGCGTTATTGCCTACCTTATCGAAGATAGTAGAACGGCTAATGAAAAACCGTCTTTTGCCCTTTCTTTTCAAGCATAACATCCTCACAGCTCATCAGTATGGCTTTCTACCTAAAAAATGCACTAGCGACGCGATGTTTTCCGTTCTTAATGAAATATACACATCACTTAATGATAAACTTTTCACCGCTTCAGTATTTTGTGACTTCGCAAAGGCCTTCGATTGTGTAAATCATGATATTTTAATTAATAAGTTACAAATTTATGGCATACGGGGTTCTCCTTTACAATGGTTTAAAACTTACCTAGAAAATAGAAATCAACAGGTGCGGGCGAATGGTGAGGATTCTACAAATCTAGCAATAAGCAGTGGAGTACCTCAAGGATCAGTATTAGGTCCAATTTTGTTTTTATTATTCATCAACGACATCACAGACTTAAGAATAAGTGGTAGAATTACTTTATTTGATGATGACACCAGTGTAACCTGGAATAATTCTAACATGCAGACATTACAATCTATCATAAGTGAAGATCTAGTGACTATTAAGTCCTGGTCTGATTCGAATGGACTTTGTTTCAACACCAGTAAAACTGTAGCATTGTCTTACAGAGGTACTTTACAACCTATAACTTTAAACAATAATCTGATCCAAACGGTGACTTCAATCAAGTTTTTAGGTCTTTATATAGACGATTCTCTAAAATGGTCTGCTCATATAGATACCTTAGCAAAAAAATTATCCTCCGCATGTTTTGCCATTAAATCGGTTTCTAAAGAGCTGACTCCTTCTACTGCATTAATAACCTACTTTTCCTTATTCGAATCTCACCTTCGCTATGGTTTACCTTTCTGGGGTTCTTGTA